TTAAACAATAATGGTTGACTTATAAAATAGAAATAAAATAAACATAAGTTCATAAAAAGAAAAACGAATATTGATCTAATTTAGTAGTTCAATGAAGAAAAAAATCATATGCATAAAAGTCCGCATATGTCTTATTATAATTTATGAGGACTTCGATAGTTAACGTTACCTCATGACCTAATACGCAAATAAACAAATAACATAAAATATTTTTATTAGCAAAAATATTTAAATAAAATACTTTGAGGTGACATACATGCTTGTGACGGGTGTGTGAGCGTGCACCGTGGTAATTGTGATCTGGTCGATTCCGTGAAACTGTATAGTCATCTAATTTTGTTATTAGTCATGTATTCTTTATGTGTTAGAGAAGTTGAGTTGTGATTCATGTTAGAAATCATGTTTAGGCTATATGCTGGTACTATTGGGACCTACATAGATCATTTTATTGTGGAATTATTTGCTTAATTGTAATTATGTACTGAGTCACATCTATCATTTACATATCATATCTCAGTCTCCGTTGCCATTTATTGTTACATCATATTATTATTGCTTGGGCTGATTGTCATGAGATTTGCGAGCCCGAGATACTGACTGAGTGAGACCGATGGCCTGAGTGTGAGTGATATTTATGGGATCGGGTTGCACGCCGCAACAGGCTTTATTGATTCATGCCATGATTGGTTTATACTAGCGCTTGGGCAGGATCCGCCCCTCCGGAGTCTAACATACCAGCAGTGAGCGCAGGTACCTACTAAGTGCGAGTGCCGAGTGATTGAGAGTGCTGAGTGATTGGGAGTACTGAGTGACTGAGCGTGTTGTGAGGTTGAATACTCTGACAGTATGTATATGACTTTATCACTTTGTTGCATTACACCTGACATGCATACTTGGCATGTAGATATCGAGATGTGGCACACCTTATATTTGTCATACTTGGCATATTTTATCCATGTTGAGCTCAAATTGTTAAATACTTGGAAGCATTCTACACTTCTGAACTATGTACAAACTAATTATGAGGCTTTCTCTAAGTTATTATTGTCATTTTTCTGTCATATCTACGTATTGTAATTATCTGGATTTGGACTGTACCTTTCTGAGCTCGTCACTACTTTCAACCCAAAGTTAGTCTTGTTACTTATTGAGTACATTGGATCAGTTGTACTCATACTACACTTTGCACTTCGTGTGCAGATCCAGGTACTTCTGGGCACGACAGTTGCTAGATTTGGAGCTTCATCCGTTTGGAGACTATTGAGGTAGCTGCCTTGCTGTCCGCAGACTTCGACCCTCCTTCTTTTCAGTTTATTAGCAATATTCTATCTTTCTAGACAGTTATTTTAGCAGTTATACTGTATTGTCATTTAGATGGTTATGTACTTAATGACACCCAAATTTTGGGAATGTTGTATTTGAGTCGCAGTATTTCTTATCGACTATTTATGAGAGTTATTACTGTTAAACTTGTTTCATCTTAATTTTAGTTTAAAAAGGCAGAGTTATTTGTGGATGTTGGCTTGTCTAGTACTATGATTGGCGTTTGGGTTGTGACAGAACATCAACAGAAACAGTAGGTTCAGTGGGTGTAGTAGCATCAACAACAACATTAGCAGTGTCGTTCTCCATAATAACATCGTGAAAATATCCTTAAGATTGTTGGAACAAATAATTATGGAGAATGAGAAAAAAGTTATCTTGAGGTATTTCAAGGATAAATCATTAAGGATATGTCACTAACACAATAATAAATAGAATTAGACATATTCCCAGGATTCAATAAGTTTTTCTAGTATAGCAAAACAACCGATAAAAGAAAACCTAGCACTCAAGAAGAAAACAGAAGAAGAATTTGTCTTGAATGATTGTCAAAACAGCTAAGACCATTGAATAGCCCTAATTTGATAGTCAAAGTTATTGACATATAATGGTCACTTTATGATTGCCGTTCAAGTAACTTTAAAGATAAAATAATGGATATAAGGTAAAGTTCTGATAGAAAAGAAGACATCTCAAAATTGAATACTAATAAATGCCATTAAGGCTATTCAATGGCCTTAGCCATTTTGAACGATTATTCAAAATTATATTTGCACAAAATAAATATGAAGAGAATAAAATTGATTACTATAATAAAGACCATTAATATTATATTAAGAGAATGAACCTATACATAATTTTGAACAATTTTTTTTGAGATTTCTAAAGTATTTTTTTCTTATACGGTGAAGAATTGAACAAGCACAAAGTGCTACAGCCGGGTAAAGTTTGAAAAAATTAGCAGTATAGGTAAAGTAAATATAATATAAAATCTAGGTTGAAAACTTCCCCATAAGCAAGCACAAAGTCATTTTCTAAATAGTTTCCGAAATTGGGATATTGTTTAAAGACCAAATCCTAATATGATCATTCCGGTCAATCACCCTTGGAATATTGGTATTGACAACAATTTCATATAACAATACTGATGTTGTCCGATTGCACCTTACCTCTAAAGAAAATATACCTTCAGGTTTCAGCAAAATGGGGAATGACTAGTTTAACATAATATTCGTCTAGTATTGTGAAACTATAGTTAATGTTAAAGTTACAACTAGCCCCTTTCTATTCATTTTAAGGGCTTACAAATAGATTAGAACTGAATAAACAAGGCGGCTCAACACAGTTCGGGGCCTAAAGCCAAACTGTAATGAGGGGCCTTAATTAGTTCTTTCAAAAAAATTATATGTATTTTATTTAAAGTCTATTTTTCTAGCGAATTCATAAAGTTAATTTAAAGTTTCAATTCTACTCTTTTTTTGAAGTTTTGCATAACCGGATTCATATTTTCTAACAGACATATTTAAACTCTAGTAAATAACAAAAAATTATAGTATCTCTATAAATAAAGTAAAAATATAAAAAGTGACAGATTTTAGATTTTAAAAAATAGCAAAAGATTAGAACAATAGAACCTGATTCAATTGATAAGTTGATCCCAAATAACTTTTTAATACTTTTGTGCTTGAAAATCTGTACAATTATTCTTGTAGAAAATCAGTGCCAAGTATAATATGTAGAAAAAGAACTACTTGGAAAGAAAGAAAAAATTTATCATTGAAAAAAATTTCGTACTTACCAACTTTGTATTTTATCCCACAAAGAAGAATCACAAGAGTCTTGTAGTTTTTTTGACACCAAGGAGTAAGAATTATCATAAAGCTTTTAAGAAGTTAACCTAGAAAAGAAGAAGGCAAGAAGGTTTCAACTTTGTAGTTGTGAATAAATATGTAAAAAAATAGAAGTCAATCCCAAAAAGGCAAGAACGGTAAAAAGTAATGATTCATATCCCCAATATGCAATAACGGTAAAAGTAAATTTTTATTTCCTTTTCCACACTGTTCACATTAAATACTTAAATTTTCTAAAAGGAAAATAAATACATAAACCCAAAAATTTATCCTTGAGGTTCAGCCTCCTCTGCGAATAAATATGTCAAATATTAAGTAATACTATCTATTTTTATATTTTTTTGGACTTAAGTTCTGAAGAGACTTTGGGATGCAAACAGCATTGCTAGTTGCATTCTGTGGCAAGCCATAGATATTTGAATTCTGAAACATCAATCTTGTGATGCTGATGATGTTTTGTACTATTGGTTTTGCCAAGTCGTTGCATGTTGCGTTCATGAAGGTTCAGTCATGGGCACCACCAACCCAGTGGCAATGAGGTGCACCAAGCTAGCCCTGAGCCCCTGCTAAGTGCATGGTCAGCCCTGTCACTGTGCATTAATGGGGATTCGTAGGGATATGGGAGTGTGACAATGGACCCTTATGAGGCTCGTTGGTGCAATATCACATTGGTCACACGTGCCTCATCAGCAGCGGAATTGAATCGGAAAGCAAGACAGCTCTAGAAAGAACTTTCCTTGAATCAACTGCTATTGATATTAGCTCAGGGACTTTGGTGCCTCAAGCGGAAGAGGGGATTTCTTTCTCTTTCTGGCTTCCTCCGGGCAAAATTCATTAAGCTTAGGTTCACATCACAGCCTGAATTGACCTCCATTCCTGTGCTGCAGGGCATTAGCAGTAGCACTATACTTTGAGATGATAATAGGTGGTTTGGGCTTGGTCTTGGAGCCAGTTGTCTTTACACGAGATATTCGTATGGGATCTCCCTCCCGTTTGGAGGAAAGCACTGACATTTTAGGAGTTACTATTAAGCCATTTCCACAAATTCCAGGCTTGTGGTTACCAACTCCGTCAAGTTATGGATTCTAATTGTTGGACTCTTTGGCTGCAACTGCAGGGAGAATGAGGTTTGCTGCACTGGCCATTTCTTTTTCTTCACTGTTGCTCTCAGAAACTAAACAGAACAATAAATTTTGCGTTTTGACCGTGTGGTTAAGTAGGGGTTTGCTCAAATAAATTTATTATGCAACCAAAAAGAATGAATGCAGTGTAGGAGATGGTTAAGTAACACTGATCAATGATAAGTCCATTTGTCTCTTGGTACATTCACGTAATTCCTAACTCTCTGCACATCCTTCTTTTGGATTGATTGCCTTCACCTACAGACCAACATTTCCATTATATTCTACTGAGGTCATAGTTAATAGCAGTTTTTGTTGGGTTTTTGTTGAGGTGTGAATGGGAAATCTTGAAAGTTTCCTTTTTACTAAAGAACTTTGTCCCTCGTTGAAAGAGAAGAGAAAGATTGTTGTACTTATATATATAAGCACTTCTTCCAGCTCGTAAGGAGTAGGTAAAAAAGCAAGCGTCACGCCATCACGGCTTCGGCTTAGGATTTGGTCAAATGATTTGGGGCATCTTCACACAAAATCTTCAAGCTCTCCCCTCTCTTTACTGTAGGACACAAAAAAATTGTGGGCTCAAAATTATTTTTCGTTTCTGTTTTTTGTAAACTAACTTTTTCTGTTTTTCTGTTTATGAACCCAGTTTTACTAACTGTTTTTAGATTGTCATTACATATAAGAAATTGTAGCTCTAGACTGCTAGATATACTACCAAAAGTTGCATGAATATGTTCCTTTTAGTTCTGCTGACATTCATAAAAGGTGAATGGCAAATGATGTAGTGATTGTGTAAAATAGTCTCTACTCTCTAAGAAGACAATAAATTTCTCTCTGTGTCTAGTGCATTAAAGAATATAAATCATGGAACTGAGAATCTAACTTCCTACCAGAAACAAACTCATGAACTTCTCCATTAACTTCTACTGAACTACATCCTGGTTCTTTCTCTATCTGTTTCTCCTTCATTGAAATTCTTTCGTCCATAGCTTTTTCAAAGTGTCCATTGGCTGCATACATATTCGCCATCAATACATAACCACTGCTCTCATTTGGATCCAACTCAAGCAAATGCTGAGCTGACCATCTCGCCAACGCCATGTTTCCGTGACTCCTACAAGCTGATAACAAAGAACCCCATATAACAGCATCAGGTTCTATATTCATACTTCTTATAATCTCTTCTGCTTCTTCAAGTAGTCCTGCTCGGCCCAAAATATCGACCATACAACCATAGTGCTTAATTGGTGGCGCGATACCATATTCTTCTTTCATTAATTGGAAATAGTATTTTGCTTTATCTACTAATCCTGAGTGATTGCATGCAGTTAGTACACCTATAAAACTCACAGAATCCGGCTTCAGATTCGAGCATTGTAGCCTCGAGAATAGCTGAATCGCTTCATCCTCAAATCCATTAGTTCCTAAGCCCAAAATCATAGAGTTCCAAGATGATAACCCTTTATTCGGAGCACTCTCAAAAACTTGCCACGCCATTTCAACGTTTGCACACTTACAATACATGTCTATAATTGCTGTAACAACAATGACATTCAACTTAACATTGTTCCTTTTAACATAATTATAAATCCAATTCCCTTGTTCAAGTGCTCCTAAGTGTCCACAAGCATTCAACAAGCTCACAAGTGTGAATTCACTAGGCTTAATTTTTTCCTCTTGCATTGCGTTGAAAAGGTTCAATGCTTCAATCCAGTTACCATTTCTAACAAAACCACTTATCATACTGTTCCAAGATACATCATTTCTAGTTTCCATTTTACTAAATAACCTCCAAGATTCGTCGATATCCCCAGATTTCGCTATTCCAATGATCAAAGAATTCCAAGCAACAACGTCCTCGTCCTCATCCTCGTCGAACAATTTCCTTGCTTCAATCAAAAATCCACAACTTGCATACATATGTAACATAGTATTCCTTATGAATGTGTCGAATTCTAGGCCTAGTTTGATGATTCTCCCATGAAGTTGAGTTCCACTGTTGGCAAGACCAAGTCTAGTATAGGCCTTAAAAACTGATGGATAAGTAAGTAATTGTGGTTGAATATCTGAAGTGGTTAACATTTCAATGAAGAGATGAATTGCATATTGTGGAGTTGAACTCTCTGAGAAACCTCTAATCATGGTATTCCAAATAAAAAGATTTGGATTGTCTATTTGAGTGAAAACCATGTTTGCATAATTGATGTCACCAGTAGGGAACTTGGCCGAAAATGCTAGGACACGGCTAGATGCTATTTTGTCCTTAATTAGACCAGTTTTTATGAGTTGGGCATGAATTTTTTTTAGGTCTGTTATGGTTTTACATTTGGTTTCTAGCAGGTAAAGATATGGTTGGTCTGAAATGAATTTTGAAATGGAAGTTGGTGATGGATTGTATGAGCAAAAATATGATGGCATCTCTGCTTGTTTGTGATGTCTAAAGAAGTGGAAAATTTATTAAGAATGTGTTGAGTCAGAGTAATTTTGTTTAGTTTTCTAGTTTGATAAACAGCTCCTATCTGACATATTGGATAAGGTATGTATGGCCTATTGGTTCTCATTCAATCGCTTTAACACTGGGCTGGACTATTTGGCATTATTGGGCTAGCCATTTTTCTGCCTAATTTTTGACAATTAGCCAGTGTTTAAAAATTCATTGAGGCGCAGTCACTTTTAAAGTGGAAACAGATGACTGTGTCATGGATTTCGAACTTAAACAAGTGAAAAATCTAGGATATTGTCCTAATTTTTTTTATCCATGATATTTCGAACTTAAAAGAAAAAGTGAAACTCCATGTTAGTGTCCTGGATTTCGTCCAGCTTACAGTCATAGAGTTTCACTTATTTAAATTCTGACATCGTCATGGATAGCTATATTTTTAATAACTTGATACTACTGATTGTAATAGTAACCTAGGTACTATGGACTAAAATAAAAAAACTTAGGTACTAACTATGCTACTCCTATTCGTGAGGTCTGTCGTGATCAAGGGCGAATACATGATTTGTTCTAAGAAGGTTCAAAAAAAAAAAAGATTAAAAGACATTGTGGTCAGCGAGAATTGAACAAGCGATCTAACAAAGATTTTGAACCCTCTTGGCTACTGTGTTATGTTTTTGAGTTATATCAAGGGGATTCAAAATTTAATATATAGAGGTACAAATTAAATTTTACCTTATATGTACAGTGTATTTAATAATTAATTTATTTATTTATTTTACAATTATGCATAAAGCAAGTGTTTTCAACTTTGAACCTATTTTTTTTTATTTCTCCCCCAATATTCGATATTCATATTGGGCCAACTAAATTTGAATTCGAGCTGGCAAATTCAACATTGGGGTTAAAGGCCAAAGCTCACTTCATACTCAATGTTCAAATTCTAAATCTTTGGTTAATGATAAAGGAACACTTACCATTCTACCACGACCTCAGTTGGTATTTGAACCTGTTATTTCTATATACTTTTCAAGATTTATTTTGAAGCTTATGGTTAAATAATTTTCTATTAAGCCTCAATTTTTTTAATGGACAAAACAGAAAATTTATACACGTACATCATGTCAACTTCACAACTCCCCTGACATTATTGTTTGCTAAATTTACAATGCCATCAACCAGACGCAGCAAATGTTTTTTGCTCACACAGTTACCAAATATACTCAAAATAAGTGAGTATCACGATTAATAGCAAGTTCACGTTTAATTTAAGTTTCGTGCTTGCCTATGACTTGATCAAGAAAGCAGGCACAAAGAAACAAAAAATTCTCCTAATTAACTTTTTTATTGTTTTGCTTTGGTCCTATGGGGAAACCACCCAAGAGAAATAAAACATGCTTCTTTTTTATATTTGTAAAACACATCACATTTGTATACGAGCAAAATCAAGCTCATGGTGCACCCCGGCCTCCCACAAGATAAACCAGGCTCGAGATACGATGACAAGAGTCGACATCGAAGCAAAAGTCTTGTCGAGTCAGAATCCGGGGGCATGACACCTGCCTCGAGAATATCTAAGTCATGATTTAGGATCGGTCTAATCTTGAACGACTTCGAGGAACATTGTTGGACAATAAAGCATAGCCAACAGAAGGCCGAAATATTCGTGATCGGTCGGATATCACGGCGGGGATCTCGACACATATCGATAAGGAACCAACAATTAGTTAATCAGAAGATTTTTTTATATTTTATAGAGTTGTACCTAAAGTACGACTACCCTACTATATAAAGGGGGTCTGATAATTCATGAAAAAGATTGTAACACGCATTCCAAAGCAATATATTATTATTTTCTCTGTTATTGGATCTTTTTCTTGTTCATCAGTACTGACCATTGCAAGACTGGATCGAGGGTGAATATTTCACTAAGGCTGGAATTATCCTCCTCGTGTGGTTTTAATTTATTTCGTCTTTGTTTGTTCAATCTAACTTAATTTATCGCTTTGTATCAAATTAATCTGCGTATCCTTATTGTTATCCAATTTTGAAGGTAAACAGTTTGACGTCCACCGTGGGGCTAAGGATAATAGTGGCTATTTGATACAAACTTCTATAATGCACCTTATTTTACATTTGTTCTTTGAAGTGTCTCTAAATTCAGGCCAAAGTTCAAAATGTCGAACTCCCAGTCAGCCCCTCTGAACGTGGATGCTGAATCCGGCCACCATGGAGAGAACAACAATGTAGCGCCCGGTAATGAGATGCCCCTCTTTGACCTCAACGGAGCTCTAGTTGCTCACCGATCGATGCTAGCTCGCATGTGGCCATCAATGCAAATTTTCCTACCGATCCTGAGAACAGCATCCGCATGGAAGTCCAATCGGCTGCACAAGATACACATAGCGATAAAGATGATGGGATCAACTTGCGGGTAATCTTCAAAATGCTACAGGCTCAACAGGAAGCAATAACCCAACTCCAGAAACAAAGTCGTGCCCCGAGCAGAATTGAGTCCGAGCCGTCGCGGGAAGTCACCCGCAGAAACGAACCGGTTGCGGAGAGGCCGAATGAAAATGAATTAGGGACCAACTCCGAGATCATAAAAATGTTTGAGAAGCTGACAAAACGGATAGAATCGGGACAGAAGAAAATCAAAGCCAATGACAAAAAAGTGGAAACCCACAATTCTAGGGTCCATCAAATACCAAGAGCACCGCCTATATTAAAAGGCCTGGATTCCATGAAGTTTGTTCAAAAACCTTTCCCTCTGAGCGCAGCTCCGAAGCCGATCCCTAAGAAGTTCCGCAGGCTCGAGATTACTAAGTACAACGGAACGACCGACCCAAATGAGCATGTGACCTCCTACATATGCGCCAAGGGAACGACATGGAAGATGATGAGATCGAGTCTGTCCTATTGAAAAAGTTCAGGGAAACTCTGTCAAAGGGAGCTACGATATGGTATCACAACCTACCTCCTAATTCTTTTGACTTGTTTGCTATTCTTGCAGATTCCTTCATGAAAGCACACGTCAGGGCTATCAAGGTCGAGACAAGGAAGTTAGACCTCTTCAAAGTGAAATAGAGGGACAATGAGATGCTCAGTGAATTCATGTCCTGGTTTCAAATAGAACGGATGGACCTGCCTCCGTTCGCGGTCGATTGGGCTATTCAGGTCTTCATCCAGGAACTCAATGTTCGAAGCTCGTTGGCTTCACAACAGTTGAAACAAAATCTGGTAGAATATCTGGTTGTTACTTAGGCCGATGTGCATAATCAGTAACAATAGAAAATCAGGGTCGAAGAAGATCAACTTGGGACCGCTTCCAGTTCCGCTTATCCAAGTAAGAGTCGTCGACAAAGTCAAGAGAGACATTGATCGAGAACCGAGATCAAGCAGGGATTGTTACCAACCATACAACGGGAACAGGAGAGGTAACGGATCTGGGCGAAACCTCATGAGAAGTGAAAGGAGGAGTGATCGAGGTCAAACAATCAGGGACTCATGAGCAAAAACAATTTCGACAGGCCCGACCGCCAAGGCTTTTGGAGTACAACTTTAACATCACTGCCGCTGTCGTATCTGCCATCGAACGCATTAAAGACATCAAATGGCCTCGAACTCTATAGTTTGATCTAGCCTGAAAGGATCCTAACCTAATGTGCAAATATCATGTCACTCATGGCAGCAGAACATAGGATTGCCGACAATTAAGAGAGGAAGTAGCCCGGTTATTCAACAACAGACATCTTTGAGAGTTCCTGAGCGATCGAGCCAAGAATCATTTCAGGAATAGAAACTATAATAAACAGATCGAGCAGGCGTAACCTCAGCACGTCATTAACATGATCATTGGTGGGGTCGATGTTCCCTAGGGGGCGATGCTAAAGTACACCAAAGTATCCATCACAAGGGAAAAACAGACTCACGATTACGTTCCGGAGAGAACCTTGTCTTTCAACGACGAGGATGTTGAAGGGATCATACAGTCCCACAACGATGTACTGGTAATATCTGTTCTCATAAATATATCTCGAGTTAAGCGTGTGTTAATTGAACCACGTAGCTTGGCCAACATCATCAGATCGAGGGTCGTAGAACAGCTCGGTCTACAAGATCAAATCATGCCTGCAGACTGAGTTCTAAATGGATTTAACATGGCATGTGAGAGCACTAAAGGGAAAATAACATTACCGGTGAATACCGCTGGGACCATTCAGGAAGCCAAGTTCTATGTAATCGGTGGAGATATGAGGTACAATGCTCTGTTCGGGAGGCCATGGATCCACAACATGAAGGCAGTACCCTCAACTCTGCACCAAGTGTTAAAATTCCCAATGCCAGGAGGGATTAAAACAATCTACGGAGAACAACCAGTCGTAAAGGAAATGTTCGTGGTCGAAGATTTGATCCCGATATCCGCACTTACAACAATAAAAAGTCCGGGTTTGGTCACCAAGGAAGAAACCAAATAGCAATTACCAACACCGGCCCCAACCCAACTGGAGAAGTAGGGGACCGATAAGATGATGATTACGGGGTTTCTAGGTCTTTTATAGCTCCCGATGACTCTGACACTACCAAATCGACGGTTGAAGAACTGGAACAGGTCACATTGATCGAGCATTTGCCCGATCGAAAGGTATAACAGGGCACGAGGTTATGTCCCCAGCTCAGAAAAAAACTCTTTAAATTCCTTATAGCTTACGTAGATTCTTTCACTTGGTCCCACCTTGATATGACAAGGATCCCCCGAAAATAACCACTCACAAACTGAGCTTGGACCCAAAGTTCCATCCTTTCAAACAGAAAATGATACCTCAGTCCAAAGTTAAGAATGCATTCATCAAAGACGAGGTATCTAAACTCCTTAAAATAGGGTCGATTCGGGAGGTTAAATACCCGAATTGGTTAAAAAGCATAGTGGTAGTCCCTAAGAAGGGGAATAAATTAAGAATCTGTGTGTACTATAAATATTTGAATAAGGCATACCCCAATGACTCTTTCCCTTTGCCAACATCGATCGCATGATCGAT